ATTTGAAGTGGGAGGTGGAGGAGGGGAAGGGAGAAGAGAAGGCATTGGGGTGGAAGAGAAGTCACCCCATGGTGCCATTTCACCCATAAAATTTTAGTTCTCTTGGTGTAATTTAAGATTATTTTCTTTAAATCAACACTGCACTGCATTATATATTGTCAATATGTAAAATAAATTTCAAAATGACCAATAATTTGCTTGGAAACACAGAAAAAAAGCATTTAGTTGAAGAGAGTCTCAAGCAATATGTTGCCTCCACTGAAAAGACACAAAGACTGACGCCTGTATGGTGTGTTAACAGGCTGGATGGCGTGCCAGAAACTAGTTTCTTTACCTTCAATTATCTTCAATAATTGTTAAAATGACTAAAAAATTGAATATTAAACTTTTAAAATTATTGAATAGTATAAACTTCTTGATATTTACTAAAATAGTAAGGAATTTAAGCCCTAGAACCGATTAATGTATTGGCGGACTGATACTAAAGCTGGTTGCCCGGTCAGTGCAAGCGAAAACATGTTGAGGTCGGTTCGTAAGAAATTCGTAAACCGAATTTTTGTTCGTTAACCGAATTGAAGATCCTTATGGAAGGCAGTTCGTTAACCGAGGTGTTCGTTAAACGAGGGGTCACTGTACAAAACTGGCGAACATCCCCAGGGAGATCCTTGCGAAGGAGGGCATAAGAACTTTTGCTTATCTAGATGATTGGCTGATAGTGGGAAACTCTTTCGAAGACTGTCAAAGGGCGACCCAACGTACACTAGTACTTATTCAAAACCTAGGATTAAAGATAATCCAGGTCAAATCAAATCTCCTACCATGTCAGACATTGGATTGGTTAGGTAGGTCTCCATTGGGACACCAATAAGCAGTCAGTCAGTCTACCAGAAGCAAAGGTAACATGTGATAAACCAAGTAGAAGCCTTTTGTGTAAAGTAAGAGGTTTCTTGGCACGATTGGGAAAAGCTACTGGGTCTGTTGAATTTTGCCACCATAGTAGTACCTTTGCAAACGTTTAGGAAGGAGCAACTAACTCATCTGGGGTCGAAGTTGCTTCACAGAAACAAAAATATTGCTTCTTCTCTCCCTATTCAGATAAGATTCATCTGTCATGGTGGACAAATTTGGACAATCTAATCTGTTCGTCTCCCTGGGTTCCCCCTCAAACACAGTTGGTCGTTTGTACGGAAGCATTTTGAGATAGAATGAGGATACTATTCCTTAAAGGGAGAGTCCCGTCGAGGGAAGTGGAGCAACACTCTTTGAGACAGACACATAAACATACCGGGAGTACAAAACAATTGGGCAGATGCGTTGTCTTGTCTCAGGCCAGTATTGACGGAAACAGAATGGTCCCTGAAGATATCGAAGTTCAAGGGTCTAGTGAGGAGGTTTGGGACTCCACAAAGAGATCTCTTTGCCTCACAAAACAATCACAAGATGCCAACTTATGCATCTCTGGAACGATACAATCTTTTAAGAAATGCTCTACTCAGAGATTCGAACCATTGGAATTCAATTTATCTGTTCCCATCTGTGAAAATGTTGCCCAAAGTGAATAAAAAACTCAGATCCTTCAAGGGAAAGGTGCTTTTAATTGCACCAGATTGGATCCTACATCCGTGATGTCTGGATCTGGTGGCCGCATCCACTACAAATGCAACAAGGATGTCTAGACCAGGTACTGCACCCTCAGTTCAAGATATCCTTGGCACTTCACGCTTGGAGTTTCTCAAAAGATGTTTAAATAGATTGTTGGGTAATTCCAATATAGTTAACCAAGTGATAGCAGGTCATAGACCCCAAACTTCTATACAATATGGGAAAGCTTGGAAACTTTTTCAATAATTTATCAGGTTAACGACTCCAATCACATTTCCGGAAACAGTGGTGTTAGAATTTTTAGATTTTCTATTCAGAGTTAAAGGCCTTCAAAGATCTACAATTGCATCTTATAAATCAGCATTGGTTGATCCTCTGGCATGGGGTTTTAATATTACGTTGAACCCAAGAATTTATCAAATGCTCAGATCGTCATTTTTCATTCAAAGACCCCCTCGGCCTTAGAGAATCCCACATTGGTCTCTAGATAAAGTTACTAAATTTCTTATGGGGCCTAATTACAATATAAATCTGAATCAGGAAAGATTGCTCAAGAAGGCAGCCTTCCTTTAGCAATAGCAACAGCCATGAGAATCAGTGAGCTGATCATTATTGGTATTTTCTGAGGAAGATGTCTCCCTTTTTCCTATGGTGATTCTAAGAAAAAATGAAAAGGAGGATTTTCAAGCTCAACCTATCAGGATAAAAGTGCAAATGGATGAGACAAGGGTTCCTCATATATTGTGCCCAGTTAAGATTCTTCAAGAATTCTTAACCAGATTCCGTAATCGAGGCCCTATGTATTCTCATCACAGGATGGTAAGAAATTATCTCCTAGTCAAATGACAAAATATTTTTCTCAGTTAGTGATTCAAGCAGACCCTGGTCAAAAAAAAAAAATTGCCACATGACACCAGGAAATATGGACCTTATAGCGGAGCCTTATACGCAATGTAACCTCCCTCTCCACCTCCTGCTCGGGTAATCAAAGCTAGACGTCGCATTCTGGATTGAACAAAAGGCCGTTTTTTTTTTCTAGAAAAACAGTTTTTGTGATATAGTCCAGAATGCGACGTCAACATCCCACCCATCTCCACCCCTCGAGAGTTGACATTTGTTTACTGCTCGCTCTAGGGTAAGAGATGACGGTAGCAATGCCTGTGATGGAGGGTACGGGAGGGGGTTTTGAGAATTGCAATTATATGCCAGGTAGCGACGTGTCCTCCTAATATTACGTATTTAAGTAATTATTAGATGTTTTAATTGCCTGTATGTTGGCCCGGCGAGTTAATGCTAGGCATTTACATACCTAGGTATAAAGCTGGATGCCGCATTCTGGACTATATCACAAAAACTGTTTTTTAGAAAAAAATTTTTTATTTCATAGTCTTTTCAATAATAGATATGCATACGCATGTATTTTACCACTTCTTAGATATGTGACTCAACATGCAATAACTATTACCCCCAACTAGGAGAGTATTGTGGTCATTTTTTGAGCTGTGGTTATGGTTGTGTGCATGCCATATTTTTAACAATTAGCATTTATCATGAGGAAAGACTAGCAGTTTGATTTTTTGATGCCTTCACTATGACTGATAAGATAATTACTCTATTACTTATTATAAGTTTATGTTTTGTAAGATAGCTATTTTTTTCTAACTAAATGTAAGTACAGGTAGCTATTCATTTTATCTTTAGAATATGAATGCTGTATACAGTACAGTACAGTACAGTATACTGTATACAGTTATAACCAATTAAAGGACACAGGTTGTGTTATAGGGTCTGTTTTTTATTTTGATACTGTATTTACATTTTGGATGCCTTATATAATAGACTCCAGTTCCAATTTCTCACCAAGGCAGGTATGGACAATTGATTATGTATTGTGTAACATACATGTAGTAGGATTTCAATTTAATAACTATTTAGTTTATCTTAAACTATTGATACTTTTACTTAGATATCTTCAAATTTATTTTGGATACAAGTTGAGGAAATACTCTGCTGCATACTTTTTTATATTTGTACTGTGTTACCTCATTTCTATTCTTCCCTGTAAAAGCCATTGTAACAGCTTTAGAAAATCTCTTATTTTCAGGGAAGTATGAAAAGTGCTTGTGTGTGTCAGATTTTAAGAAGAGTTTCTTAGTGTGTGTATGTACTTTATATATTATATATATTAACCAGTTTATGACAGTGGAAGAAACAAATGATCTGTGAGATCCAGACCACAAAACTACCTCTTGCCACAAGGTTTCACATACAGTTGGGTCTTCATTTATGCGGTCAATTAAACCCGCGGAGTACCGCGTAAAACGAGAAATGCATAAATGAAATAACAGAACATATGGGATTAATTGAAATAGAAACTGGGCCGACCCCCAAACTCCACTTTTTCCGACACAATAACTACATTGTAGTAAAAATAACATGTTAATTCTATGATGGTATGCACACACAATTAATATTTAAGAGAAATACAGTCACCGGTTAATGTCCATTCAAATAATGGACTCAACTCCCCCCCCCTCTTCCCACGCTCGCTGGCTCCTCCCTCTCTGAGAAATGTTTGGGAAAAACACTAGGCTTACATGTTTAGTAGTAAATAATACCCCCCGACTAAAGTTAGGATAATATAATTGACATTGCTGGATTCCTTGCAAGACCAGGAATATTTTGATATAAACGTCATATATTTTGCACAAAAGATAAAATTTTGGCTTCTTTCTAAAGAAAATTCTTACATTAGATCTAAAATTTTTATGTCTAATGCAAATTCCATGATGTTTATATTTAAAATAATCACAATCTTATAAGAATTCCAGCAATGTAAATTATATTCTGGCCAGGTAATTTGTATGAATTTTATGAGCTAAAACAAATATCTTCAGTAAATAAACAAATTATACTTCACCCAGACACTATCTGTCAATCAAAATACCCCACCTCCACAACCCCCCCCCTCTTCCCACTCTCGCTGGGTCCCTCCCTCCCAACCTACCCCCCACCTTCCCTCCCTACCAGAGAAATGTTTGGGTGAAAACACTAGGCTTACATTTTTTGTAATAAATAATACCCCCGACTAAAGTTAGGATAATATAATTGACATTGCTGGATTCCTTGCAAGACCAGGAATATTTTGAATATAAACGTCATATATTTTGCACAAAAGATAAAATTTTGGCTCTTTCTAATGAAAATTCTTACATTAGATCTAAAATTTGTATGTCTAATGCAAATTCCATGATGTTAATATTTAAAATACTCACAATCTTATAAGAATTCCAGCAATGTAAATTATATTCTGGCCGGGTAATTTGTATGAATTTTATGAGCTAAAACAAATATCTTCAGTGAATAAACAAATTATACTTCACCTGCGTAAATGACCAAATTTACTGCATTAATCAAGCATTTCAATTCTGGCAAGGCACCGCGTAAATGACAAAACCGCGTAAATCCAGACTCGACTGTACTGTATTTAGTGCAGGGTATAATTACCAGGTGGTCAGAGTCAGTTATTGTTTTTCCTGCATTAAGTTGTTTGTTCCTAAATAAGAACTGGGCCCAAATGACTAAAGATCCAGTGAGGCTCAATGTCAGAGTTTGAAACTTTTGCAGAAGAATCACACAGTTCAATAATACCCTGGTGGCCATATAAAGGGAGTTCATATGCCAGACTTTACAGTTCTTACCATGACACCAAACTGACAATGTTCCCTGACTTCATATGGGAGCTTTGGTTCCCAGTGCCTTTATGTGGGTTATCCAAGAAAGATAATTGTTTTGATTGCATACTTTTATAATCTATTTTATGGTTTTACCAGGCGGCATCTGCCACACAGTTAACACTTACAGTGTCTATGGGTTGAGGTGAGTAATGTGCAGTTAATCAGTTCCTGAGAAGGTGTCAATTAAGTTTTGGTGGTAATTTAAATATTTTCCTGATGGTGGTCAGTAAGTGAGGCTGCCCTGTAACCTTGGACCATGTGTTAGTGGCTTTCATCCAAGTATCTTTGGCACCCGGGTTGTCCTCCTTCCACATGAACCAAACATCTGCAGGAGCTGAGAGGACTGGCATCAGAATTCCCTTTATAAAGCTGAGGAGGGTCAGATCATGAATTGAAGCCTCACTGGACCTTAGGTCAACCATTGGATTAGCTGGGATTGAATCTTCAATCTCTATTCAACCAGGTGAAAAAATGTTTCTTGTAACAAAAACATTACCTGACCTTGTCCTTCTGGTTAATGTTATCTCATTTCAACATGTTAAGCCCGCTGACAAAAAACAAGCTCTGCCATAGTGTATTTTAGCAGTTTGGGTCTTGCAGGTTACTTATGTTTTTCCCCTCATCCATAAAATGGAGTTTCATATTTTTATCCTTCATTTCAGTGTGAGAATAGTACTTCCTGAATAAATATCTGAGGACAGTGTGTGCGTGTGTGCTCTTTCTATTACTAGTGTGATAGGTAGTACATTACTATGACTAATAGGGAGATGGGTGTGAATTTTTGGAATACTGTTGTCAAGAAACTGTTGGATGAGGCAATTTGTTTTGAATTAGAGAATGATTAAGTGTTTTTAGATCAGCTCAGTGTTTCTAATTGGTTAGTTCAGTTTAGAGTTATTTGTGATTGGGTCAAGTCAATACAGAAGTTATTAGTTCTGGTCAAAGTTGAAAATTGAAATAAATAAATCGCTAATTTGATAGCTCTTTATATACAGTACACAATTAGAAAGTGAATTAAAAGAAGTTCAGGCAAGTAGTGCTGATTACAGACAGAGCATCAAAGATTGAGGGAAGAATGTGAAAACTGTGCTCATTTTTTTTGTATAGAACACAGGAGTTACATTGATATGTAAATAGTTTAACAGTTGCAAACCAGTATACAGTACAGGGATTTTAATTAAGAAAAGGAAATTTGATTTGGTCTTGTGGACAGAAGATAAAGAGTTTCTGTATAAACATGCAAAAAAAAATTATTTGATGGAGGAATGAAATATATGCTGAAGAGTTATCATATTACTGGTTTATTAAAAAGGAATATGAAAGGTAAAAATTTCAACTTTTACGTATGGAGAGAGTTGAAACTTACTGCAAATGTGTGTGTACTTGAGTGGAAGAGCAGGAAATAAGAGAAGGTGAAACAAATGTTTTTGTGAATGGAGATGTAAACAAAACAATGCAAGAGCAGGTAAAAAGAGGGTTACAGTGGTCCCTCGGTTAACGAGCACAATCCGTTCTAGAATGTTGCTCGTTAACCGAAAAACTCGTTAACCGAAACCATTGTTTCAATGGGTTTTTGGGTAATTGGTTCCAGCTCACCGAAAATTGCCTAAATTCAACAAAATATGTAGAAAAGTACACTTACTTTGAGGTGTGTATGTAGAAGGCTCCTGGATGATGATGATGATGATGGGAATTAGAATGGGGGTGGAGGAGAAGGGAGAAGAGAGGGCATTGGGGTGGAAGAGAAGTTACCCCATGGTGCCATTTCACCCATAAAATTTTAGTTCTCTTGGTGTAATTCAAAATTATTTTCATTAAATCAACACTGCACTGCATTATATATCGTCAATATGTAAAATAAATTTCAAAATGACCAATAATTTGCTTGCAAACACAGAAAAAAGCATTTAGTTGAAGAGAGTCTCAAGCAAGATGTTACCTCCACTGAAAAGACACAAAGACTGACGCCTGTATGGTGTGTTGAGAGGCTGGATGGCACGCATAAAACTAATTTCATTACCTTCAATTATGTTAAATAATTGTTAAAATGACTAAAAAATTTAATATTAAACTTTTAAAATTTTTGACTAGTATAAACTTCTTGATATTTGCTAAAATGGTAAGGAATTTAAGCCCTAGAACCGATTAATCTATTGGCGGACTAATACTACAGCTGGTGGACCGCCAAATGCAAGCGAAAACATGTTCAGGTCGGCTCGTAAGAAACTCGTTAATCGAGGGATTGCTCATTAACCGAAGTTAAGAATCTTATGGAAGGTAACTCGTTAACCGAAATCAACTTAACCGAGGCGCTTGTTAACCGAGGGACCACTGTATTAGTATAATTAGTATAGGTATTAATTGTTTCGAGTTGGTAGTAATGATTGAGAGGTAACATTTAGAATAAAAATGTACTGTACCTGTATCTTGAGATTGATAAACTGATTAGGGGAAGAGAGTTTTGACAGGTATATGAACAACCAGTTTTTCTTTCACATTATCTTCAAAATATGAATTTGGCTCCATATTATTATAAATAATTATGAGGGGGTATAAAATAGCATAGCAAATATACTTTGAGGGTAAGGCGATTAATATATTAATGAGAATAATGCACACAGTAGATGTTGGAATACAGTACTAACTCCTCATGAATATTTCAGACTGGGAAGTCATTTATGATACCCAAGCTATCAACACTCAACATTGGAACTAACAGTTAGCTAGATCACAAGTCCACATCAGGTATTCAGTAAGAATGGGTGGTCATCTGTATCACAGGTGTACACCAAGAGTACAGTACTGTGTAGTGTATGTGGACATCCATCACACTGTTGGAGGTCTTTACCAACTCTCCAGTGAGAATGAATGTGAATCGGTGTGTAAAGTCAGCACCAGCTTTCCAGTGACAGTGGAAGCCCATCACCAGCTTAAGTCTATGCCGGGTCTTCAGTGAGTGTGGTTGTCCCCCACAGTTACACGTCCACGCCATGTCTCCAGTGAAAATCATTATCTATTAACCAAAAATCCTTACCCAGTGTCACAAGATTGGATTCACAAGATTGCTGCAAAATATATCATGTCCACACCAATTCATAAGTGAGAGTGGATGGCCATCCCTATCCCAAGTTCACATCTGTGTACACTGAGGATGGATGGTTATCAATGTTACAGATTTGCATTTTGTTTCCAGTGATTGAGGGTGATTGTCAGTGACTGAAGTCAACACTAAAGCTACTGTGAGTTAGTCTGTTAATTTTATGAAATTCCTCCTCATGGTTATCATAAGTCCACATTGAGTCTGCTGAAAAACAACTAAATAACCTCAAAGTGTCTCGTTATTATATATCCTTTTGGTTCTCGTTATATGCAAAACCCAGCCAAGAAATGACACCATGGAAATGTAATCTGCTCAATTTCCCTTCAAATTGTAACTAATGAAAGGTGAGACATCACAAAATCCTCACTTCCAAATACTGCAGTCTGAGTTGATGATTTAGTAAAGATGTCACAATAATATGCAGTTTGCAAGATCATTAATTAAGTTTCATACAGTACTTGTCTTGAAATATGGCAAATACATTATATTAAAACAATTTTATATACTTTAATTTATTTTAATATAATTTTCAAGATATTCTGTAAAATAAGAAAGTTTAAGAGTTTGTTTGATAGTGATTCATGACTAAATCGAGGGAAAGGGAAAATTATGGGCATGATGTCTTTCATTAATATTAAATTGGAATCAAGGTGGTGAAGTAGGGAAGAAATCCTTGAGGATGTGAGGTGATAAAGAAGTATTATACTGCATCCAATTATGACAGAGTCACTGGAAAGTATAATTGGCTATAGAGATTGATATTTGTCCATAATGTGAGGATAATTCAGTACTTTTTAAAATTTATACTTACCATCATTCCTATCATACTGTACAAGGTTATATTTTTTCTCCCAAGTATGGAAAGTGAGTTTCTGAGTCTTAAGTGGGTGATTTAAGCAGTCATAACTAGGTATAAATTACAAATTCTAGCGTGTACACCAGAGGCCACAAGTTATGAGTGCACAATCAAACCGTCACAATAGTCCATTGAATGAAAAGGTGCTACCGTACTGCATTTACCTGTGTGCATATCACTCTTTTTGATACCAGAGTTGTCAATATTTGATTTAATTAGAACTTCAGCAAATAAAGCAGATAAAATGTGGATAAAGCCGTGAAAATGAATGGACACGGAAACATTGAAGTGATAGTGACAAGGGCTGGTCTTTAAATGAATTTTGAATAAGATTTTTATTGCAATGTTTGAAAGTGATTTTGTCAGAATTACCTAATAATTACGTTCACCAGTGATTTATTGAAAGGACAGTTTTACATCACAGTTTTATGTAATACTAACCTATAGTAATTCAATCTATTACATACACGATGCTGACATTTGTACAGTATAATAAAAAATGTTAGTTGACCCAGAGTTGCTGGTTAAACATCTAGCAGCCCTTCATAATGGTGTATCTGGAGAGTTAGACCAACTCTTTCGGGTTTAATGGAAACAGAAAGAGGATGGTGGTCTCTTCCAGCGATCACTCTAAGGGTCTCTTTGCCAGTCAAGACAACCTTCTTATTTCATTTTCTTTGAGCGGACCAATTTTATTATAGATTTTTAATAATGCAGCTGTAAGGTAGACTATAGCAGGATTTCAGAGGTTATATTACATCAGAATCAGATTTGTTAATTCCATTAATCCCAGAATTACTGTTCCAGGGACCTCTATCTATTTTTGTATTTTTATTTGACAATCCTGGTTGCTTAGTGCTTCATATAGTCTGCCTTACAGCTCTGGCAGTGTTCAATGTTTTGCAAATATTTCTGTATTCAGAAAGAGTCACAACCTGAGGATGGCAATTCACTGAGAGGATTCATTTGTTACTGTAATAGGGTCATAGTGACCCTTATTACTGATGGGTTTATATTAACTTATCCAAAGATGTCAAGAGAATTGTAATTTGGAATATTGTATACATAACAGTAGAACCTCAAAAATATATACTGTATATGTTTTGAACTTTATGCTTTGAATTAACTCAGTTATTACTCTAGGTGACAGTTATTATTCTAAGTGAAAGATACTTAATTTTCTTAACATGTTTCAGAAAAATGTTACAATTCACTACTTCATTTATCACTGATATGTCGCCTGTGATGCTTCATATAACCAGCATCTACCATAACTGTTGGCTCTGGTATCACTACAACTGGTACCTTGTCAAGACAGTATCAAAATATACTCATACAGGTATTTTCCTTATTCTAGCATTTTATTTCTAAGTAAGTTTAGGAATTTCTCTCATATACTGTATGTCGGGATTTTACTGGGAACTCACAGCCTTGTGGGGATGTTTAGGGTGCCAATATTTTATCTTATTCACTGAATTTCAACAAGAAGATAATCTGTCTCTGCTATCCCCTTCTCCAGACATCAATTGCTAATGGTATGATGGTCACAATAGTTTCATGTCTCACAATGTAACATACCTCACATGCAAATACTGTACACTAAGTCATTTATGTAGGAATTATATAATATTAGATGATTTAATGCCAGAAGCTGTCAGTGCTAGGGGCAAAATCAGTTGACAGTTTAATTGTACATATATATACTGTATATATATATATATATATATATATATATATATATATATATATATATATATATATATATATATATATATATATATATATATATATATATATATATATATATATATATATATATATATATATATATATATATATATATATATATATATATATATATATATATATATATATATATATATATATATATATATATATATATATATATATATATATATATATATATAAGACAAAGTTCAAATTTATAATAAAGTAGATTTCTAAAGTACATGTGATTTTTTTTATGATTACTATATTATATACTGTACTATGGTTGGAAAAGCACCAATTTGATTTTTTTTTTTAAATGCTGACAGTGACTGAAAAAAAAAATACGAAACCTTTGTTCCAGTGTACTAGAATATGTAAAGACTTTCTGTGTCAGAAAACTTGAAGGCGCAACTTTATTGATGGATGGAAGCACAATAATGTTTTTTTCACTTACTATAAGATTTACATTGAATTCTTATGAATCTCAATCCTTTCATTTTTATTTATTTTCTTGTCAATTTTGTTAACATATTACAGTGATATGACATTGTCTTTCATACAGTTAATCTCTTGATACTCATCCAATATTAACTCTTGCTGGACTCCTCAAGTATTTTATTCCCTTCCATATCATCTCTTTTATAATGATATTGTTTATTGTGTAAGCATAAGTTTGTCAATGTTTTATCAAGTGTTGTTTGTATGTTCCCAGAACATTCCAAGTACTGTGTTCCTTTTTTCAAAAAGTTAATCCAGATTTAGTACAATGTTATATACCGTATAGCCTTTTAGTTATTGTGATCGTGTGTTACTTAGGTTAGTATCAATGTTAGTACTGTACACATAATATGTATTTTTAAGGTTCTACTGCAGTATTTACTTCACCAATATAAACTACTAAAAGGAATGAAAGCAATTGAAATGCTATTGTCCAATTGATGTACCTTTTATGACCAAAAATTGAATAAGAAATCAGGTAGGGAGAAAAAAGAAGAAAATTTATCCAGTTGTAAATATCTCACTTGATCATAAGCATAATAGCCATCCATGTGGTGGTTGATTGTCACAAGTGACCAGTTACAGGAAGTAGACCTTTGTGATAAGTTGTAATTTTTAAATTTTGGCAGAATTTTCTGTTAGAATTCATTTTGCAAAATAAAGAAATGTGAATGTGAGGAGTGGCATAATATGTGTTTGTTGAAGCATCAGAAATATTTGTAATTCATTTGTTGCTCTTGTGTAGATAGATATTAATTAAAGTCATTCATATAGATTCTTGAATTACCATGGGAAAATGAGTTTCATACCATTAGTAAGTATGTGCCAAGAAAATTAAAAAGGAAATGATGATTAATAATAAAATCATGATGGCACTGTAGTTACTCGAGTGTTTTTGCACATGAACTCATTTTTCTATGCTTGCTTATGAACTGTGAAGGGACTAGGATCCAGGTTCTCAGATGATATGATTCTGCTTTAAATTTACAATTCTCAATAGACTGTAAAGATTCCAGCGTCCCCCCACAGTACCCAATCGACCAGTCACCGTTGCCAAATCTTCTCTTGTTCATAATAGTCATATAGGCTAAGTTTGCAAGGAGAGAACACTGAAAGGATTCTAATGTTATATATTGCTAGACTTGTAGGAAAGCAACATCTAGTGCAGTTTGAGAGATGCAATATGATTTTAGGAGATATTACCATTGTTTTATCATAGATACTTGCCTCATATAATATGCTTTGTTTATTGTATATTGAATAAAGAAATAATTATAAGTTTCATTTATAAATGACAAAATTGTTCTCTTAAAAATCAAAAAAATTAAGTACATATAGTGTAATAGCATTTTTCATAACAGTTCAAACCTGGTTTTGTATGGCCTCAAGAAATTGTTGATTGTGACCATCATGGTTTAAATTTACGACTAATACACCAAAATATATCTGGGGATGATACTTAATCAGCTTTACATATAAGAAAAATAGAATGAAACTTTGAGCAAATTATCTTAAGTAAAAATAATTTCTTCTTAGCAAATACCCGTGTGGTATAACCTTCATGATCTTAGAAATTTTAAAAGCCAGAAAAATATTGGAAGTAATTTGCGGGAACAGTATTTGAAGATTCAGTCAGGCAAGCAAGGGATGGAATGAAAATGTAGATATGTGATCATTACTATAATTATATTCTATACACATTTAAAACATTTCTGTGTATAGTAGTAATCTCTCCATTACCCTGAATTCCTCTTAACCAGAACTCTCCAAAAGCCAGAAATGAAATTTGCTCAGAATTTTTCCAGAAAATTTCTCACAATTCCAGGTTTGGGAATGATTTTCTGAGGTTGAAAATCGGGTGCATTATCTTCAAAATTCTGAGAAAAATTACAGAAATTCTCTCCAATTATTTTTTTCCGAGTCTGGGAACAAATTCCGAGGTCGAAATCCTGATGCATTTACTGAAAATTCTGAGAAAAATTTTGGAAACACACTCAATTTTTTTTTCTTGGTCTGGGACCAAATTTTAAAGATGAAATAATGTGTAATTCTGGACAATTCCAAGAAAATAACAGGAATACTCCAATATTTTCCCTGGTTTGCAAGCAAATTCCAAGGATGATATAATGCCCAATTTCTGAAAAATTACAAGAAACTTTTCCCTCATAAACCAACGTCCCATTAACTGATGCTTCGCATAATTGACGATTACATAATGGGGAAATACTCTGCAAGTTTTGTTGACTACCCTGTTGATCCAACGATTGGGGAAGGAGCGGCAGAGCACTTTTAAGTTTGGTGGGCGGTAACGTGGTGGGAATTCTTGCCATGAGTGCACAAATTTGTATTTTGTTAATTATCTAGACTTTTCAGTTTATATATTGTTCATATTTCTCTCTTTCTCTTATCTTATTTCTTTTGTAATTTCTTCTTTCTCTTCTCTTCTCTCCGACTTTGTGTTAGGTGTGTTATGCAATCATACCTAAACGTCCCAGCAATACTTCCTCTTCTGTAGAACCCATAAATGATGGCAAGGATTTTTTAATAGAATATACAGTATACGGTATTGTCTTTAATGGGGATAATGTGGTCTGATTAGATTTGATATAGGCCTAACGAGAGGTAGATATAATTAATGATTGATTGTTTGTGGTACTAACACCCCTGGTGACAACAGCTTAGGTCATATGTTGCCGAATTAAAATAAAGGCTTAAAAGACTAAAATCAAATAATGTAAGGAAAAAAAAAGCAATTTATAAATAACATAGAACTCTTGTAAAGCCATTTAAATGTTAATAGATAAAACTCAAAGCTTGTGTTGTAAGCCAGCTTCCTCCATGAAGAAGAGGACATCCCTTACCATGCTACCCACTACCCTCCCCAACACCAAAGAGAGATGGTAACAACTGTATCCACTTCCCCTCCCCCAATGGCACTGGGACCTGGGAGAGGTGCTTACGTCGAAAATCTCTGAGACTCGTGCATTAACCAGTAGGTGTCGAACA